CTTAAATGTCTTCAGGGATCTGTGTAGGATGGCCCTGTTAGGCCTGACAAGAAGTGCACTGATGCCATTCCGCAAGGATTTTGGAGCCCATGACAATGATGGTAAAAGGGCCTTTCTGTCTGGAACACTGCTGGCTGACTCAGTTCAGTTTTGTTTTTAAAACATCTTGGTGTATGATGCCACTGGAGTGATGACCAGGGTACAGAGCATTCTTTTTAAAAGCTTTTATTTAAAAGTCAGCATAAATAAAAATCATCTCAGAATTTAATTGTGCTATGAAAATAAACCTCCAAGCAGCCAGTCAAAAGATCAGATGCAAGGGGAAGCTTCCCCTCAGTCTGCTTCCCAATTAAGTCCAAGTCGTTGGCTTCTTTAATCCTATTTGCTTCCATTTACTTTGCTCAGATTTAATCAGATAAAGTCCATATACCTCAGCCTGATTGTAGATCAAGCTGCTAGAGAACTGCAGCTGCAATCCAGCCTTGCAGTTTAAACTTGGTTTAAATTCAGGAACAATGAGATCAGGGATAGTCAACTTGTGGCTGTGCAGATGTAGTTGGACTACAACTCCTATCATCCCTGACCATTATCCATGCCGGCTGGGGCTGATGGGAGCTGGGAGCTGCAATATCTGGAGGGCTACCCCTGAAATTCTAACTTATGCATGGACCTGTGAAAGAAATCCCACAATCCAATGGGACCTAGAATAACATAAACTTCTGCAAGAAGGTCATAGAAGGTCACTTTGTCTGACTTTCTGGGGTCCCCCTCCAGCCCCCATAACTTGCCACATTTGCATGGTCATGGTGGCATGGTGGGTTGTATGCACACCTGGCTTTTGAACGCTCAAGCAACTATTGTGACTTGTAGTACTGAATGAACGCACTGGGTGTACAAAGGTCAATTAGCCCTCACATAACCCTAAAAGAGGCCATAGGTTGTGTGAGGATTGTTTAATCCTTGCACTACCTCCTCTCCCAGTTTTAGATAACATGGCAAGCCATGGTCATGACTGGAATGTTCAGCATGGTGTCTGCACACTTCACAGTGCACTGTGGTTTATAGATATCATGGTGTGCTTCTTGATTGTGCAAACCAGCCCTCTGAATAGCATTTTCAGGAGATCGGAGAGGCTGGCTTGGAAAGCAATCCATCAGGAAGGCCACTCCCAATAACACAGCTGATCCTTGGAGCCATCCCATGGTGGCAAGTGTCATGTCTAGCTTTGCCCAGAATCTGCTAGGATTACAGTTTACCTGGTTTTCACACATGGCACTAAAAAGTGCATTTGAATCTCTTCCTTGGGCTTTTTGTGCCCAGGGAGAATGCTAATAATGTAATAAGGAATGTATTTTCTCAGGTTTTCCATTCACATTATCTAGGCTTTTAGATAGACAATGTTTTAGCTGATAATTACCAAGACATACAGTCCCTTTCCCTACCAGCTAAGCAGCTGCCCAGTCTGCAAAATGGAATAAACTCCCCTCCTTAGTCTTTCTCTGTCTCTGTCTACCTTCTCACTCATGTATTTCTCTTGTACTCCTTATTTGTCCCTGTCTTTCTCCTTCACTGGTAAGACTTTGCTGCCACAAGCAGAACTAATACAATATTAGTTTTAAACACAAAGCATTTTAAGCCCAAAGTATAAGTATAGATTAATAGGCAATAAATTAGCTGAAATCACCCAGGAAACTGTTCTTGGGGTCCCTGCATAAAGATCACTTACAATATCAGCTCAGTGTGCTGAAGCCATAAAAAGTTTTGGGAATGGCCAGGAAACAGAGTGAGAATAAAACAGGAAGATCATGGCCCTCTTATATGAATTAATGGTGCATCTACACTGGGGATCCAGAGAACATCTCTGTTGATCCCATGCTGAAAAGGATGCCATGAAGCTGAAGCAGGTATAGAAGGGAGTAGCTAAATGATTAAGGAGCTAAATTCTCCTCCTTGCATGGAGAGGCTGAACTTGTTCACACTGCTATAACCTATGGAACTGAATGGTGGTAGCATCGAAGCAAGTACAAAGGAAGGCGTTTCTCACCCAAAGTAAGATTAACTTAGGGAACTCCTCGCTCCAAGATGGCCAGCCACAGGAACTTCCCATGCTGTGTTCTTCAACACAGAATTGCTTCACCAATTACCGGTAGTGCACTGCTGCCAGAGAAAGATTTCAGGGCTCCATTCAGCAGGAGACTTAAAACCAAAACTAGAACCCATACATGTTGCTCTCTAAAGGGCTCCTGCCCTGTAAGACCATTCAGAAAGAAGTGAAGTAATGCACATTACTATCTAAAGAAAGGGGGCCTGTAAGACCTTTGATCCAAAGTTTAAAATTACTCCTGCACACTACAGATGTGGTGGATTACCAAAAAAAAAAAAAAAAATGTATCCCCTAGGTCCTAATATTATGGGCTTTCAAGCAGGCCCCGAAGACTTTACCTTGTGGCACAAGGACTTTATGAGTGCCATTGTGTGCTGTCTGGTTTTAATTGTTAATTCTTATCATTGTTCTTCTCATTGTTGTGCTGTGTTTTGTTGTTTTATATTTTGTTCCGTACCATCTTGAGAGACTTTACCTTTCCAACAAACAAACAAACAAGCTATCTCTTCTGTGTCCCTGCAGTGTGCCATGAAACATGAGTAGTGTGTCTGTTTGTGTGTGCATTTGCAGATAAAGACAATCCTATAGGTGTATGTCATGGCACAGAAATGCACTGGTTGGGGAAGTGATGTTTTCAGCAACTCCTTTATCCTTGTATGACTATGGCAAAGAGAGAGCTGTGCATGAAATTCCCCTTCTGTCTGGAACTGTGTCAGAAAAGTACTATGAGAAGTCTGGAGATATGGTGGTGTGTATATAGGTGAAATTGCAAAACCACGCTATTTCTGTTGGTGGAGTAATGTCCAGCGGTGTTTTTAGCCCCTTAGTTTCACATGTCAGTCTTTGAATGGTTGGCTTGGTATCGTGCTGTGTGAAATTACTATGAGGACTGTTTCTTTTGGATCATTGCATTTTCTTTTTCAAGATCAAAGTTGGAATATTGAGACTGGGGGGAGGGAAGGTCTTCTCAATGCTGCCTGTCAGTAGCAGATAGAATTTGAATCTCTTTGGGGCAAGGCAAGAAAGAATTTATTTTCCCTTTGAAGTCTATATGCTGTTTGTGTTTGTGTGTGTGTCTTTCTGTCTGTCAGTCTACCTTTCAAATGGTCCTGCATTTTTGCTTTTATAATTTCAGTTATATACCCCACCCCCAACCCACAAAAGATGCCCATTTAATTATTCTTGTCTTTTTGATGTGGGGGTGGTCTCTTTCAACCCAGAGCCCTCTGGATTGGAGACAGTGGGTGGTCTAGTCAGGGTTGGACCTTAGGGCCAAAATCTAGGGCCAGAGAGTAGCAGGTGAGGCAGCATCAGAGCAGTGGAAGCAAACTCTATTTCATTCCTATAATAAATGCTACAAGTTACTTTAAATAAAAAAGTTGAAGTACATAATCAGGTCCAGCAAACTTGTCACTGTTCTTTAACATCTCAGGAATGTTGCAAAGCTTGGAAGGGGATGAGAAAGAACAATGTTAGTTGTTGCACTACCCAAGTGAAGTAATACAAATGGCCATCTAAAGGGAGGGCGGGATGAGGTCAATATGGGCTCATTCCTGTGCACGTTAAGACAGAAAACGTTCCTGGAAAATGCTGAGCCTTGTAGGAGCTCCTCTCCTCTCCTCTTCCTTTTGTGGTCTAAACCTGTACCAGTTTGCACCCTAAATCCAAGATCTAAAATTACCTTGCTACATCACTGCTAGCAGTCTACCGCATTTAGAGATCATGAGATTGTGGAGCTGGGAAGGCTGGTATAGATGTGGGCTTGAAGGGAAGCTGTGGGAATCCCAGGATTGGCTCTCCCAGGAAGCAGGGTGAGATTCCCACCTCAAGCAGTGGCATTGGAGAAACCCAGAATTACACGGCTCCATCCTGCTAGTGCCAGGAGGGATACAACCTCCAGCTGGCTTGGCCACTCTTCCTCTGTAGCATGGGCAGACAGTCCAAAACATCTGGAGGAAACTGGGTTGCTTACTCCTGATTTCAGAGGTTTCTTGCTCCTCATCTCCAAAATCCAGGATGTTCACTGAGCCAATTTCTCGTGGTGAAAGGGCTTGCAAGCTTCCATGAGCTGCATTGACAGGGGGTTCGTAGGGCTCTCTGGAGCAGCTACCTGCACTTGGTTTTCCTTGCAGCTGCGCCCCTTGCTGCTTCCACAGCGGCTGCTTCTGGCTGTGTGGCTCTTCATAGATGGGCACATGCTGGGGGAAGGAGGCATGATGTGGCAGCAGGTAAAGGCACACGGCAACAGCGGGGGGACATGCTCTCTCCTGCCCCAGAAGACAACTTGCACTGAGACCGTGGAACATCCCCCCGCCCCCCGCCACTACCCGTGGGCACTTGCCCAAGGAAGCTTTCGATGGCACAGAGCCATAGTTCAGTGGTAGGGCACCAGCTCAGCATGCAGAAGGAGCCGGGTTCGAATCCCCTCAACATCTCCAGGCAGGAGAGGAAAAGCCTCTTCCTGAAACCCCGGAGAGAGGCTGTCGGTCAGTGTCGAGAGCTCTGGGCTAGGGGGACCAAAGATCTGCCCAGGGGGACCAAAGATCTTCTCTCTAATTCCAGGGGCTGATCGGTCAAAGCCTTGGGGCTGTTGGGGGATCTGGTGGCATCAGGGGCAACATCCCGCTTGCGTCCTCGCCTGCGCTGGGAAGAGTTGCCCGAGCAGAGACGGCTGGGCGAGCGCTGCGGACCCCCCTTCCTTGCCTCTCTCCCCACTCGCCTGCTCCCGAGTCCCTTGTCTCCGGCGACGCAGCCCACTCTGACGCCCCTCCCGGGGCAAGGCGCGGGCGGCGAGCTGGGCGCGGGAGGGGGCGAAGCGGGAGTCAGCGAGGCGTGATAGCCCGAGGCCCCTCCTGCCTGCTGGGGAAACCATAAAACACCTCGCCGCGGCGCGCAGCCCCACACTGGAGAGCGGATCCACTCGCCAAGGCAGCGGCGGAAGAAGAGCGAAAGCCTCGGCTGCACAGAAGGTGAGCAGAGAATCACCTGCCTCGTCTCCCTCTCCCCTCTCCATCCTCCCCTCTCTCTTGCCTCCCTTTCTTTCAGCTCCGGATTCCTCTTCTCGCCCGGCTCTTTGCTAGAGTTGGTGTCCCGCAAACGTGTGGTTTAGACTCCCTTCCTTCGCTGTCCCGCCGCTTTCCGCTTCCTCGCCCAGCCGAGCTGCCCCGGGTCCCTCTCCGGGATCAAAGCCTCTCCTCCTAACCCGCTCTTGCTCCTCCGACGCGCCGAACTTTTGCGTGCGCGCCACCCTTCTCCTCTCCTTCCGAAGCAGTATTTCCTCGGAAACAAACCCCGCTGCCCTCCTCCCGAGTAAGCGTGCGCCTCGGATGCAGCGGGAGGAAAGGCAGTGGTCCGTTCCCAAGACTTTGTCTCACTTCCATCCCTCACTCTCATCCACGGATCTGAGCAACAGGGAGGAAGGGAGAGAAAGACTGAGAGGAAGAGAGATCTTTTCCTTCCTGCGTTTGCCTTCTTTGTCCGAATCTGGAGTTTGGAACCCCAGCCCTCGGCTGAAAAATGTTAGAATCCCATAAACCAAAATGAAACGCTTTAAAAGCAAAACAAAGTAAAACGAAGTTGGCATATAATCAGCTTAGAATCCATCAGTTCTTGTCTAGCTGAGAAGGAACCCTAACTTAATAGCAGAGGGCACTTGATTTACTGGGAAAGGTTCCAGGTTCAACTGCTGGTATCTCCACAAAGAGCTGCTAGGAAGTAGGGTGGGGGCTGGCTGGAACCTGGAGAATGACTGTAGACCAGTTTCCTCAGCTTGGTGCCTCCAGTTGTGTTATGCACAACTCCCATTGTCCTTGACCACTGGCCATTCTGGGGGAAACATTGGAAACTTACTGGACTGGTGAAGGCTGCTGTGGACTGCTGCCAGCTAAGAGGACAAATGCTTTGCAATAAACTGCTTCCTATGCTCCCCCCCCCCCCCACTGCTTAGTACAATCACAAATTCCCTCCTTCAAACAAGAATCTGGCAAGTTCCTTAAGTTTTCTGACTCATTTTTTATAAATAGGATACAATGATACACTTCAGAAACATGATAGGAATCTCTGTGATTACTTGTTGATTGAACTTACAGATAAAATTTACGTTAAGCATAGGCAATGTCAAGGGTAGGAACCATCAAGATGTTTTGGACTACAGCTTCCATCAACTCCAGCCAGCATTACCAATTGGCAGGCATTGTAGCTGTTGCAGTTCAAAACATCTGGAGGAAACTTGGTTGCTTACTCCTGATTTCATAGGTTTCTTCCTCTTCATCTCCAAAATTCAGGATGTTTACTGAGCCAATTTCTCTTGGTGAAAGGAGTTGCAAGCTTTCGTGTTTTATGTAGCTTTTTTTGCCAAACAGAAGGGAAAGAGTAGCCCATTAAGAGTGAGTTAATGACACCAAGTACTGATTCCAGTCTTTGGAAAGACAGGCATGGATTTGCAGTTGGACTTTCCCAAACTTTGCCCCAGAATCTATTTCAAAACTGATGGCCGGACTTAGAACATGTGCTGAATAGTTGTTTCTCTGATTTATTTTTAAAAAATTATATACCTTCTTTCATTCATTCATTCACCTAAAAAAAGATCCAAGGGAAAGTGAAAAACATGTTTTTAAAACATACACACTACAAAATGCACATGCTCACACACACACAACAAAACATACTTCTGTCTCTCTATTAGATCCCTGTATGAGCCTGTGAGCACAGTAGTGGGTCTGGAGATGTAATTCTCCAAGACAACAGACATGGTTTCCTTCCACACATCTCTTGATTTTAGAAACGAGCCCTGGGTCAACAGTATTTCATGGATATGAACAGTTGTGTTTTTCACAGGGTCTTTCTGAAAGAAGAGGCCTGTTGATCATCTTCTGTAGTTGTCATTCTGCCCTGCCAAAAACAACTGTTGGTAGAGATAATGCTTACTGCCTTATCTCTCCTTGTTACCCCACCGCACCCCATCCTTCCCTTCAGATGCAGGGGACCATGCGATTGTGGCTGTCCGTCATGATGCTTGCCCTCTGCCTGCTGATCTGTCTGGGGACACTGGCAGAAGCGTATCCATCCAAACCAGACAGTCCTGGTGAAGATGCACCTGCAGAAGACATGGCCAGATACTACTCGGCACTGAGGCATTACATCAACCTCATCACACGGCAGAGGTAGGTACAGCAGGATAGCCTACCACACATGGGAATCCCAGATTCATAAGAATTCCAGCACCTGGGATTCTCCAGGTGCTGGGAATCCCAGATTCATAAGAATCAGAAAGGTAGCTAAGGTAGTCTGTTGCATCAAAAATAACCAAGAGTTTTGTGGCACCTTGAGGAGTAGAACATTGTTTAACTGCATGAGTTTTCATGGACTACTGCCCAGGTTATAATACGCAGAGTGTGATCCCCAGTTTCATGATATGGTTGAAAGAAGCTATACAGAATAGAGCTACAGTCAATTTAGTTATTTATCACGCTTTATATTCTGCCCTGTTTCCACACACACATGCACAGCACACAGAAATTGATCCATGTTCTTAAAGAGTTCATAGTCTAGATTTATGAGGAGATTCTAATTCCCCTTATCTATGGAAATGTAAGGAATCTAATAAATTCCTTATTTCTAATTTTTTCCTTTGTGGAAATCAGGAGTTATCCTTCATCTTACGTTTGTGACCAATGCAAATAAGCAGCACTTGGTGAAATTCTCCCCTTCAATGAAACTTTTAAACATCTAAGCTTTATACATGTGTCAAGCTTTGGGTACTTTTATCTTAGCCACCTGCTTGCACCTTTATCCCTAGGAATCCAGACACAATTCATCTCACACTCTTGCATTCATTTCTCTACCACCAATTGCCATATCTTTCCACCCCACCCTGCAAATGATTATATAGTGCAATTAAAAACAAAACAAAACAAAACAGTAACACTTGCAGTGGAAGCTTTCGTGCATGAAGTACTGCTGTTATCCCACCTTCAATGGTGGAATTTTGTAAAATTATCTGATATTCTCCAGATGTTTTCAGCTGCAACTTCCATAAGATGGAAGAATAGTTAATGTCCAGGGATTCTAGGAAATGCAGGTCAACACATCTGGCAGGACGTAGGATACCACCCGTCACCCAGTCCAGCCTCATTGTCATTCCTGCCTGCTACCCTTGCCTGTTTTTAAAAGCCTCTGTGAAATGGACGGCTTTCCTTTTTAGCAGAGAGTCCAGTCTTACAGGTGCAGGACTGCAGGTGGCGCAGTGGTTTAAACTGCTGAGCTGCTGGGCTGGTTGATCGAAAGGTCGCCGGTTCGAATCTGCACAACGGGGTGGGGTCCCATTGCTCTGTCCCAGCTCCTGCCAACCTTGCAGTTCGAAAGCATGCAAATGCAAGTAGATAAAAAGGTACCACTTCGGTGGGCAGGTAACAGCGTTCCATGCACTTCGGTGTTTAGTCATGCCGGCCACATGACCACGGAGACTGTCTGCGGACAAACACTGGCTCCCTCGGCTAGGAAACGGGGATGAGCACCACCCCCTAGAGTCAGGCATGACTGGATGTAACGTCAAGGGGAAACTTTTACCTTTACCTTTACCAGTCTTACAGCAGAGATTGGGAGATTCACGGGACAGGGTGGGAACATCGGTAATGTCATCTTTGCTTAAAAAGCCAGGACAGCATGCTCCAGCACCCCTGCATATACAAGTTTTGAAGACAAGACATATACCTATCTTCTGAGAAAAGGCAAAATTGACGTCAGGCTTCTGGAGTGCAGGTCATGATTGCCTTACTTTCCAAAAGATTTCCCTCTACTTCCATTGATAAATAGATAACAGCTGGGTGATCAGAAGAAATCACAGTGGCTTTTCTCAGCTACTGCAGTGCCAGCTGATTTACCTAATTATCTTTGTGATGTATGACTTTTCATGTTTGAACTCTGCACAGTATGCAGCAGGAGTGGCTTTGAACCCCGCAACCCCAGAGCTCTACCTTAAGTTATGGGTTCTGGGGTGGTTTTGAAGCACGACACATGACCAGCTTTTTTGCCCCATGATCATGCAAACCCATCTAATGAGCCTTTATGTGGGGGCTACTAGATAATAAGAAATCCCCACCAAACTAGAACAGCATTAGTAAATACAAAACACAAATACTTTGTGGTCATTTTGTTCACATCTGAAGAACCCCTAATTCAAGAGTGGGAGGAAGGGAACTTGATCATTAATCTTGTTTATAATTTATGCCAGGAGGTCTAAGGAAATCAACACTTGTCTCTCTGTGGATGTGAGGAGACAGGCAGGTCATTGCCTCTTGCAAGGTATACCTCATAGAGAGTTGGCAGACCATCTATAAGAAATTTTTTAAATCTCATGTTCATTCATCATCATCTACCCACTTAGAACTGAGAACAAAGACTGCATCATGCCATGAACAGACACTTAACATGGAAGGAGGAGTATACTCATCATTTGGTAATGTTTACCAAGAGATGACGTACAAAGTGGAATCTATTAGTGGCAGAATGTGGTTTAATTAATTGATCCACAATTTTCAAGATTGTACACTGTGTGTGAATTGCTTCCACTTTGCATGAACAACATCCAATTGGTGCAGTAGTAGGTTATGCAAATCCAGTGGATTATTTGTGGGTTAAACATCCAAAACTAGCATAAGAATTATTCCTAGATTAACTTTGGGCTGTTTAACCCACAAATAGTCCAGCATTCATCTTTGTACAGCATGCAAAGATGGGCTGATTGTAGGCTGATTGTACAAAAGTGGCAGTGGCTCATGACCCAGTAATCATAGGTTGGTTAATTAACTTAGAGTTTGCCACTGTTATGTGTGAACTGGATCACATTGTACCTATATAAGCATTTGGTAATTTGATTGATATGTGGGTTCCCCCCAAGGGATGACAAGCTGCAGTAGGCAGACATCAGGGTTGCAGGATGTATTTTGATTATGTTCACTAGAACTCTGAGATTCACCAGCTGAAGTGTGATGGGAAAATAGAGTTAAAGAATTTTGAACCTCTGTTTGGAGTGTCAGAACTGAATGGAGTTCACAGATTTTCCACACATAAATCCATACTTAGTCACTCCAAAATGTATCAATTTCAGAAGTACAATGTTGTTGCTCTTCTTAAATAACTGGGAGTGAGAAATACTTGCTGGTCTACTACAAGGTACTGAGAGATCTACTGATTTTGTGTACTACTTTGTCCTTTTATACTTAAGTAGGAACTTATGGGAAAAGGAGGAGGTAGAAATCTGATGATTTTGCAGGGCAATATGAACAACCAATACGCCCAATAGTTGCAAATGAGCTGGGCTATGGTGAATTGCCATGATCACATATATTTAACTTGTTTGTGTGAGAAATTAGGCATTGGGATGGATCCAGACTTAGTTGTGGTTAGAATAGACCTATTAAAATCAACAGGAAAAGTAAGTCATTACTAACTTAAGTCCTTTTGATTTCAATGAGTCTACTTTAAGTATGACTAAGTTCTTTTTATAAAGGTATGGCAGCTCAAGGCAATATGGATAGTTTAGGATAGTTGTCCAGAGAATTCTATGTAACAGGTGATGGTATTCATTTTCTCTGGCTAGGCCTATCCTTTTTCTGACTTGACCAGGGAGTTCCTCAAGTCAATGGTATATCATATGAACATCTGCTGTTTCCTCTGATCACTCACTATTCAATGGAAACACAAACAAGGAGATTTGTGACTCCTTAAAGCTGGGGTGGGCAACTTGTGGCCCTCCAGATGTTTTGTCCGAAAACCTCCCAGCTGCCCTAGTTAGCATAGCCAATGATGAAGGGTCATGGAGGCTGTTGGCCATAATATCTGCAGGGTCACAAGATGCCCACCCTTGCTGTACAGGAAAAATGATCATGGCATATAATTTCATGTACTGGTACCTACTTCATCCATGTAAGTGGACCTTATATCATCATAAATGTGTTAGGATCGGGTCCAGGAACTTCCTGCCATGAAAGGAAAAGCTTCACTCACAGAAGGCCCCTGAGAAGACCTTTGTTCCACTGGACACTGCTGTTCAATCCATTCAGTAGCATTTCTTGACTCTTTATGCAGCATTTTTTGGAAAGTGATTGCCGGGGGAAGAAGGTGTGGAGAGGACCACTTTCATCAGCGCAGATGATCCAGTGTAAATCTAGATCCAACCCCTGGTCTTTAAGGTGTTGCAAGACCCTTTGTTGTTTTTGCTGCAACTGGAAGTTATGTAATAGGTTTATTGTATTAAGCCATAGGCCATTACAAATTTACAAAGCCATGAAATATAATTTAACACGGAAAGCCTTAAAACAGATATGACAAGTTAATTAAGACTAGAATAGTTAAAAATAAAAATGACATAAAAAGTAAAAATGGACTGGTCATGCATGAAGAAACTACCCCCTTCAATACCTCCCTAGATCTTATCTTCTTGGCTTCCAAGGCAAAGACAGAGACGATGACTCACGTGTATCAAAACCTAATAACAGAAATACTATTTTCTCAGAGTCAGGACATGCATTTATAGCAGGTAAAATACTGGACAAGAATTTGTCTCTAGGCTCTCTACATAGAGAGCAATAAATAATGTAGTGGGAAAGGTACTTATGTAGCTTCAAGGGATCCACAGTTACAGACATGGTGCTCCATTGGAATTTGAGAATATTGGCCAAACAGAAGAGCTGTATGCATAGTTTGAAAACAAAGGGCTGTAAAAGCTATCCTAAAGTTGAAATTAGAGATATTAACTGAGTAGCTAACTCTAAAATGATCAGTTTATACCAAGGGGCTACTTCAGAATTTAAAATTGATGATCACTCTGTTAGGGCATCTGAATTGTAGATCCTATTCCTGAGGTGACGTCAGCTGTGGCCCCTCGGAGATCATCAGGGATGGAGTATCTCTAGATGATGACATTAAGAAATCCAGAACATTTGGAATCTTTTAATAACAGAGTCAATGATTTGTGACCTAGCGAATTGAGACAAGACGAAATGTTCCTGTTCAAATGCTTTATGACTGCTAGGTGTACACGAGCCCTAAGAGAAATGGGAGTTATTAAAGGAGTTATAGTTCCTGAGATGCTCTTTGCTTGGGCTCTACTTTGTTTCATATGCCATCAGCCATGATTGTATCCAGTGGTGCAGAATCCTGCTGCAGTGATCCATGCCTTGGTACTCCCTTTCTGGATTACTGTAACATGGCATACATTGTTAGCCTTTGAAGATGGTCCAGAAACTTCAACTAGTGCAAAATAAAGCTATAGGACTAACATTTTGATCATATTATGGTACCCTGTCTTACTGTATGTACACTGGCTTCCAGCTCATTCATAGCTCCCATTCAAAGCAGTGGCTTTGAAGATCTATGTGGCTTGGAACCACTAAAATCGATGATAGTAATGTAAACCTCAGCAGGTGTATTCTAAGTATGATTAATTTATACCTGTTATGATTTTAATGCTTAAGGTATTTATAATTGTATTGCTCTCTGCTTTTAATTTTTATATGAGTGTTGAAAAGCAGATTATAATTTTTGAAATAAAAAGAATACATTTCCTCAGATGTAGGTCATGTTATCCATGCATTTTTCAAAATGCATGGATAACATATGTTATGCTGGAATTAACCTTTTTAGGAAAAGGAGAAAGCACAGTCTTATTAGAGTGATGGTAAAGATAAATTATTCTGGGCAGCCATTTTTAGAATTCAGAGTGAATACTGAGGTAAAATCCATCCACTTGGATACCACAATAGCTTAATTTTGCTGTTTATTAGATCTCCCAGGAAGTGATTACAACACAGTCCAGCTTTGGCTCATCCCCTAATTGATTTAGTATTCAAAACCAGCTGAGATAGTTTTAATTAGGTTTTCGCTGGTTCTGTGCTCTTACAGTCAGAAGAATTGAATTAGGAGGGAAGAAGATAATATCGTCTTGTTAAAGACGCCTCAGCAAACTGCTAACTTACTGTCTGTGCAATAAAGACCCAAAACTGAAGCAGCAGCTTATGCTTCTGTTCAGACAAAAGTGAGCTGTTCTGAGACCTGTTTTGGGTAAATATAGGGTAAAAATGTTTTAAATTAAAACAAACAAAAATAAAATTTGTCATGGCATACACTCCCAAAAGCAAACCTACTGTGTGAACCAATGGATCACAGATATGAGCTTCAATTCCTATAACTGTTACATATTTTCATCAGTGATTGCTGCTGTCTATAGACGTGATACTTAGATCACAGTTCTCCAGGTGTACACCTACCAAGCTATAACAGCTCCTCTGGAGAATCCAGTCGTGGTTGAATCAAGGTTTTTATAGGGTTGTCAGTCAAAGAGCTCCAAAAGAAGGTGCTTTTAAAAAAAGAAGACATCTGATGCATGTAGGAAGCCATCTTCTGGTCAACATGGGTGCTCTGCACTACCATACTGGCTAAGGCATTTTTTTGAACAAATTAAAAAAGGAGACTCATGAAAAGAAACACAAGAGCCAGAAGTTCATCATCTGAATATAGAAAACATATGAGGAGCAGGAGGGTAATAGCTTTACCTCCTTGTATGTTTGTCGCCCTTTCTATTCTTGGGGAGCAACATTCTGGAGAGGAGACCTTCCTGTAAGCTTGAAGGCTCTGTGCAGTTTGAGCCCTGGTTTTTCCATGTTCTTGATTACAGAGAGAGCCTTCATAAAAACAGGAAGCTCTCCTGTTCAGAAACTCAACCTCCATGAGCAGAGAATTTGTTGAGGCATAAAATGCAAGGCATAAAATGGCACATTACTTATGGATTGGATTCAGAGTTAGTCGTGCTTAGAACTGGTGCCCTGAAATCCCCACCCTGCTATGTGGCCACCAGAATGCAACCCCAGATTCATTCTCCATCTGCTCCATCTTTCTGATCTCCAGCAGGATTTGTGCTCAGATCCTGTGGGTGATGTTTGGACAGGCAGAGGAGAAGGTACACTTTCAGCAGGATCTTGTCTTCTAGATCTTGTCTGATATCTCTAAGGATGTCCTGTGCACATATAGGGTTTAGAACATATGGGCATCAGTTAAAAATTTGTATGTCTGTTTTTAGCTCTCACACAGCAGGGTCTCTGGCTGTACTCCAGTTATGTGAATAATAAACACTTTAAGGGATATTAATGTACCTGGTTTTTAAGGACCAGGTGTATGTTTGGGAAATGAAATTATAGGACATTTTGATCCTTGCCTCAGAAATACTCTTACAATAACTCTCCCTCTCTTGCCAGTGAATTGAAGAGCACTTGTATTGTGTCCTAAACAGACATGACATTCACAAGGATTCATGTGGCAGCTGTCAGTAAATGTTTGGGACTCAGCCAGTTTGCTCTCTGCCCAGCTCTGTTAGTGGATTGATTCTACTTTTCAGTGATGTATGATGCAATATGTGCTACTATTGGACAGGAGAACTTCAGAAGAAGGGCCTTATCCAGGCTTAGTTCTATAGTTCCTTTGAAATCAAAGGGACCCAAGTTAGATCAATGCTGGAATAAGCCTGCAGCCTCCTTCCTACTTCTTCTATGGATGTCAGTCTTCTCCAGTCTGCTGCCCTCCAGATGGATTGGAGTACAACTCCCAGCATCCCCATCTGGAACACAGCAGGTTGGGAAGGCTATACTGTGGCAAGGAAGAAATACTTGAGAACATGTCTGTATGAAGACATGTAATAGGTGGGGCCAAAGCAAAAGGGAAGGACCAAAATCCCCCTAAGTGCCAGCATATTATAACTTTAAGTTCTAAAAACAACCCCTTAAGAAAGTCATGAAGACACCTTGGAATGAGGAAGGGGGAAGTACACAAAAGCTGGGAAGCTACTAAGCCACCGGCAGTCAGGGGCAAGGGGAAGAACCAGGGAAACATGGTGTGGCCTTCTGAGAAACCCTGGAAAGTCCATTGGGTCTCCATGCCTAAGGCTTTTCACTCTGCACTAGCATAGCCTGACGAATGCCGCCATACTGGTGGCATGGGATTTTGCCCAGACTAACAAATAGATTTGGTTTCATGATGTTAGAACTGTTTTGGAGATACTGATTTAACCCACCCAGGGAGCCTTGTGGCTAATGGGATGGGATAAAAATCTACTAAATAAAAATAAAATAAATTTATGATATCAAAGCATAAGGGGATAGAAGCTTTGCTTAAATTCTATTATATTTATTGCAGCTTCATCGTTATTATACAAGTCAGCATCCAGAAGTGCTGTCAACTGACATCAGGAAGAATGGACAATAGGATCAGTTTGTTGTTTTTAATTTGGTAAACTAACATTAGAAGTCCAGGGATTTTCTTTAACAATACTGATTCATTCTACCATAGAAGCTCTGGCCACATCTAAACACACCAGAGAAAGCAAGCAAACTGAACTTTCAAATCATCCAGGTCAGAACAGTCTTGGAAGTGAGCACCCTGTACTCCAGAATTAGTACACAGAGACTTTATGATGAAACTGGTTCTCCTAGAAGTCTTGTATTTTTTTCTATCTTCAATCCTCCAAATATGGTTTCAAAAAGTTTATTTTAAGGGCTCCCTTTCTGTCTAAGTTCCAAATCTGTAAACTAAGAAATTCTGCAATCGCTTTGGAATGGAAGGATACAGGGTGCACTCTATATTCCTTCTGTAGTACAATTCTGTACTATACAGATAGGCAGCCTGGTGTCCTTCAGATGCTTTCAACTACAACTCTCAGGATTTCTGACCATGGCCTTACTGGCTGGGGATTCTGGGGGTTGTAGTCTGAAACACTTGGGGGCTACCAGGCAGTCTACCCTTACTAGACCTGTCTACTTACAAGAATATCCTAATGGGGCTAAATTCCAGATGACTATGCCTAAGATTGCAGTCAGCCAGACCAATGCTAAGTGGAGTCAGGAGCTCAGGAACAGTAGGGCACATCCACAGGCCCACCAACTTGTGGCAGGCCAGAGCAGAAGATTGGGAAACCTTCTATCTCCCCTCCCTGGGGAAGAGGGGCCTTAAAGTGTTTTTCTTTCATTTATTGCAACACAAGGTCATTTTCCTACCCCAACTCCAGATTTGTGTGAGTCCAAAGCTGGATCCAATTTGTCCGTGGCCATCTGCCCATTTCCAGTGTTGAAAGAACCACTGATTGTAGTTTTCCACAAGCAAAAGAGGAGATTCTGCTTTGATGAAGCCTTCACTAGCACCACCAGAACTTCTGTCTTCCCCTTCTCTCCATGCACAGACAAAATGGAGCCGGCTGACTGCAGAGCAAGAAAACCAGCTATCCACTGAGTAATAAATCCTGACAGAAATTTAGATTGAAAGTGTGTGTGTCTTTCTCTTGTCTCTTTACATTATAAGTGTTACATAGATGCATGTTTATATTATTTTAACAGGTATGGAAAGCGATCCAGCCCAGAGACCCTGATCTCTGATCTTCTGTTGAGAGAAAGCACAGAAAATATTCCTAGATCTCGGTAAATATATTAAGGGTTTGCAGGGAGGGTTGGCAATACTTACATTCTTCAGCAGTTTCTCTAAACTATTGATATTTAATCTAGAAAATAATACTTGAAAGCTCATTTTTTACTTTGAGAGATTGTAGCCAATTTTAGACTGCTGCTGTAAAGCCTGTAACCATATAATGCTTTGGTAATTGCCAAATTTAGCTTGACATTTCCAAGAGAAGAAACTGTAAAATGCATGTTTTATTGTGCTGTGAGATATATGGTAAATTTTGCTTTGTAGTTCTTCTACAAACTTTTGGGATGTTACCTGAGGATAAGGCTTCCACTTTCTGCCAATACCTTCTTTTTCTCTCTCTGTCCGATATATATAGTCTAAACATAATTTCAGGTGAGTAATGTAAAAAATCTGCATTAAATAGATAGGAAAGGATACTTCCAAAGTTAAGCTCCTTTTGGTCTCATTGATTTCAGTGGCAGAGAGCTAAACATGGGCTTAACCATTTACTTTAATATATGTGTATAAGAGTAGCTGAAATGTATAAGTAGGGTGAGGTCACAGACCAACTGTCTTCTATACTTTCTCTCCAAGTAGATTAAAAAGAAAGTAATGTTGGAAAATAAGGATGGGAATGGATATTCTTTGTACTGCCTACTGTAGCCTTCATCAAACTGGTGACCTCTAGAGGTTTCAGCTGTCAGCTCCGTTAGCTCCAGCCAGCATGGCCAATGGGCAGGTATATTGGTCCAAGGAATCTCCAGAGCACCAGCTGGGTCAAGGGTGAACAGTTGCACAGAACTATCTACTACTGGGGTCTTCTTCATGGTGCCTGGACCATTTTGTGCATGGACAATCCTCCTCCATGATAGCCGTTTTGTGAGAGAGTCCATGACTCACACTCAAAACTCCAAATATGCCCATCAGCCCAGCAAGCTGAGGATTCCTGTTCTAGCAGGCAAAAGATTTTCATATCATCTGTGTTCAGGGAATTGTTAATTTGTTCCTTCCTCATCTTTTCCTGGGCTATGATCCCTGTTATTAAAAATAAATGTCAAGGTTGGGTTTTGGTCAGCCATGGTGCAAACCAAGTCTACTGAGAATGGCACATTTATTCTTCTGAAATTCAGAGTCTGAGATTTTAAAAACATTTTTTGAATGAAAACAGGAGTCAGAGATTAGAACCAACCGCTGATGATGAAAAATGTTTGTTGTATGGCTTAGCAAAAGATTAAAATGTCTGTTTTTAAGATAAATGCAGTGAGCATTGGCTGTTAGCTGAAACTGGTTCTGTGGTTATTCCTATCGACTCCCTCCCAAAAATCCTATTTCCAATGCTGCAGTGTTCAAAGAGATGTGTAAAGAGTCAGCGAAATGACCCCAAGACATTTTTACATTGTTTTGATAGGTATTAAAATAAATGGCTCTTACTAGAATTTCATTTCTAGCGTGCAGCAGCTAAACAGACCTTAACAAGGAGCACCCCATGGTGCCATGGCATCACATTACAGTAATTCTTCCCTGTTTTGTTGAGGATCCCTTAGGAACTGTGTGTGACTGTGCAAATCCTATTGAACAGAAAATCACCTACATATGATGATAGAGCATAAGCTAGACCAGGCCTTGATTTAGACTTCTCTGTGCATTTTTGAAGTACACATAGTTGCTTGTTCCTTTCATAGAAAGCAGCTTCTGTCCTCAGAGCAATCCATTAGATCATTGCATAGTAGGCAATTTTGTCCCATAATTTGTCTTTTATCAGAGATTTTCATCTGAAATGCTGATTTAGGATTAATAGCCCTGCAAAGATAAATACATATCACCAGGTGGACCATTAAAAATAATGAAAACCAAATCCATATTAGTATTAGGCAACCAACCAAAGGATCTCAGAAATTGAAAGATCTCTAAATCTAATCTTCCATCCTAATCTTCCATCAGGCAAAATGGAACAAGAAGCAGGCTTGGATGAGGAAAAGTAGGAATGGGGGAGCAGGGGAACCCTGACAGAAGTTCACAGAGTCTGTATGTTCTGAGTTCCAGGGTGAAGTAAGGCACAGGGAGTCCCTGGGCATTCAAACACTGCAGACACCATCCAGTCAGGGTATTTCCCCCTCTATATACCTTCCACTCCTGCAAAACTTCTGTAAGTTCTTGCCAGAAGGGCAAGTGCCACACACACAAGTCTGTGTGCCACATGCATAACATTTCTGTCTGAGGACCAAATTCAATCTTGGGGCTGCATTCTAATGGTAGGCAAGACTGAGAGCAAACAGAACAGGGCCAAAACATCCCAGTATATGTTAGTTTAAAGCCAAAGGCACAAAAGCTGAGAAACCAGTGAGCAGTCAGGAGAATGGGGTTGTGCCAGGGGATAGGTGCAGCCATCTGGGGAAACCCAGAGGACTAGTTTTTGGCCCATGGGCTGAAGTTCAGTGCCCCTCCTCTGTACTGTGAGGCACAGAAGTGAGCCTGAGGCCTGCTTGACCCATGAGCTTCTCCCAGGCACAAACCATTGCATGTGACCAAGATGTAAGGGCGGTCACTGGCTTCCATGATGGTCTCTTTGTGCAATCCATTCATCCTGGCAGTGATGAAGGCAAGCTGGAAGGGTGTCCAGGTGTCAGTGTATAGACTTCCAGATCACATGTAATTCTCAGCATGTAATGAACAGGGAGGAGACATGCATCCTTCTCTCATCCACTAATGTAACCTAACACATGTTTTATGACCATAAAATCGTTTCAACTCTCTCTAAAGGCTATGATCCTATATACAGTTGGGAGTAGGTCCCTCTCAACTCAGCTCAGAGAAAGAAATTATGGGAGTTTTTTAAGGGTAGGGTTGTAGGGGCAGCTGTGGAGAGGATAGATTGCTTCAACCTGCCAGTTTCATGTCCTTAATTCTAGATCTATTCCAGTATTAAAGTCAAGAACTATATTTTGCAATATAAAGCAGTATTTTAAACTCAGATTACAATTGCATATGCATAATCAAGTGTAAAAAAAGGGCTAATTTTTAGCATGCTGTTAACAAAATAATATTTTGATTATTTTGAGAAAGGGAGAAATGTCATCAGTCATAAACAGCAGTACAATGACCAGAGATGGATCAAACTTGCTGAGTTCTTCAGTGGCACAGAAATTGCCATTACTGATTTAGCCGCTGTAGAAGAGAATCAGATCCAGACCTTCCTAAATCAGGAGCCATTCTTGAAAGTGAAAATCTTCAGTTTCTGTTCATCAGTGGTTTGGTTCCAAGATCTGCTTTCTGTGCAAGAAAGGGACCATCCACGGGAGGAAAGGCTCCCTGCGTGGAAGGTCCCTCTGCTCAGCGTTTGGGATTCCCCCACAATGCAGCTCACCCCATTCAGTGGGATCTTGACTTGCTCAGCTGAAGGAGGCTGGAGGAGCTGCTGTGGGCAGTACAGGTGGGGAAGTCCACTTGCATAAGCCCAGGTTATCCCCTATAAATCTGAATCCAACCCCCTTTATCAAACTTACCTGCCTTCTTTCCACTCTACTGTGTGACAATATTGTGGATTGGACTGCAAATGGTAGCTTACCACATGTCTTTTTAAGCAAACATAATAATATTGAAAAATGCAGATTATCCAGAGTTCTCTTTTATTCTCTTACTATCAGGATTTCTCCTTTTTCTCCTTCTATTACAGGTATGAAGAACCTGCGATGTGGTGATGGAAAGAGCCCATCTTCAGTCTTTCCCCTAGTTTTCCATCCATCTTCCATTGCTAGAAGACCAGCTGGAGCTTCACTGTGCCCCATCCCTGCACCATAACTGCATGCAACCATTGTACTGAATTCTGTAGAATTTTTCCTTCATTATCCATGTACATACATTTATTTAAATAAATTACTTGTGCACTCTCAATGGTAACATTTTACATGAGAGGGACACACACACACACAGAGAAGCCATTATAATGGGTAAATATTTGTTTTTAAGCTATTAAAATTGAGTTACAACTGTCTTACACTTTGCTGTCAGATGTGGCATGAGCAATTATCACAGCACCAACTCTAATGGTTGTAACCAGTGGGGCTCAATTTAAGATTTAATTTATAGAACACTATTGTTTCATGACAATTGCTGCCCATGATGCAACTGAGAAAAATAAAATGATATGGACAGTGCATATTCTTCTAAACAGTGTACAGAATATTATTTACTGCCTTGAGAAACCTTTTGACTTTTTTAGAATAGGAAAGTTTTTTTTAGAATAGGAAACGGGTCCATGATCCACTGAATTCTTCTATACCCTCGAAACTAAGAAAAAGTCCATTTGTTTTAAGATTATCCACAGATAAAATAACTCCCATTGTTTTTTAAGATAAGAGAAGAATGAGTTCAGCAGAAGAAGGATTTGTGTTAAGGAAAAATACTGAGTGTTTAGCACAGGGCTGAACTATCTGTGATCCACCAAACCAAACACGGCCCACCATCAGGGCTGGTATAATCAGGTGCTTGCTGATAGCCCTTTTCAGAAGAAATTACTCCCAGTCCTGCTGAAACAGCCAGCAAACTCTCTCTGCCACCACACCTGTGGGGTGTGTGCCTGCAAAACAGCTGCTGCTCTTGCTTCCCTGACTGAGCCCTGGTGGGGGGGCCATGTTGGTGCTCACTAACTATATGATATTGTAATAATACATTATACAAATAATTTATTGTTTGTACCAACTGCAAACTTATTCTCCAAGTGTGGCTCCTTATCTAGGTAAAATCCATGCCCAAAGTTTTACAGAAGAACAAAAGGTCTTTTGAAGAACACCCCAACCCTAAGATTGCCACAGGGACAGATCTAAAACCGCTGAAAGACAATCGAGCATACCAAATAGCCACAGCATATTGGCTGATTGTTGGAGGGGAGGAAATGAGAAATCAGGGGAGGCAGAGGGAATGGAATGGAATAGATTATCCTAGAATTAGAGATGGCTTACAGGCTGAGATCCTGAACAGGAGCACCCCACAATTCAATACCTGAGATTTACAGTGATTGATCAGAATAGTGTTACAAGATGGTACTTTGTCTTTAATGATATGATTGGAAATGCAGTCCATTAAGGTTAAAAACTAGGATGTGATCTGTTACCATGTGGGAGAAGCCACCCAAATGTAGGGAGGACTCGACTCTCCTCTGAAAAGCAAAATCCTCCATAGGATAGGCGGATCCTACTCAACAACTTAGTCGAAACTGGAGTATCTCTTGGATGAGGTTAGATATTGACACAGCACAGCAATCCCTAATAGGCAGCTAGCCAGGGTGGGCTGTCAGGTTCTTCACACTCCACGCAGGTGGCTCAGCAAAAGCAGCAAAACTCCCTTGCCACTTTTTACACTCTCACTCATGCCACCAGTGAAAAAGCTGCTCCAGGGCTGCGGAAACAGCATCCTGAAGCAACTGTTGGACCTGGCAGCTGTTGCCACCTTTCCTTTCTTTTATACTTTTAACTTGGAAATCATTATTTATTTCATTTCTATGGTGCCCCACAGCCGAGGCTCTCTCTGCATAAATTTCTTTGTAAATTTGCTTAGCATTGTCAGTCTTTCAGAGGTGTGCAAGTGTGTACTTACAGCTTTATGTGGTCTTTGTGAGTTTCAGCTGTCAGAGAGTGAAGTGCAGTTGGTAACACAGATGGAAGGCAATCGGGTAAGACTGCGTGTGTGCAGAGTTGCCAAACGATCAACCGAAAATCACCCATAAAGCAGGGGCGTGGAGTTTCTCCATCCCGGGGGGGGGGGGGGTGGTACCAGGATCTCTCCCTTAGCAATGCATTCCTCTTATTTTCAAGGGATGAACTGATACTTCTCACTGCTCCCCATATTTTCATCAGATCCCCTGTCACCGCCTACTCCAAAAAGGGGATATATTGACACATACACACACACACTCACTCACTCACTCACTCACTCTTTTTGGGGCAGTTACTGCAATTCCCTGAAGAGCCAGCTTAACTGACAGACTTTTTGGTGCACATCCAAAAAGTTAATACATTTTTTAAAGGACAGTGAGTGAAAAGGGATAATGATTGGAGCAGAGAAAGGGAGGCAAAACGGGTTCTGCAGCAGCGGACGCTGGGACCCTGGCTGATTGTCTGCCAGGTTCACCAGGGGCTATTCTGCAAACAGCAACCCCACTGTGACTTCTTCACAGGGTCGCTTAGCATGTCGTGTGAATTTGCAAAGGGTGCATAACTCCAGGCTGTGGCCAAATACAGTCCTCTGTGGATCTCAGCCTGGCATAACAGTCTTAATTAATAAATTACCTTTCTAGTAAGTTTACTTACTCATTAAAATTATGCAGGTAGCTGCAGACTATTCTTGTAGTTGCACACTATTCTTTTAATAATCTGCAAAAATGCAGCCACTGCTCAGTCGCTCTGAGGGATGCAAACATTTGTCCTCAGAAGTGATGGAATCATCTCAAGGTGGCTTCTGTTCTCTGGGAGTAAACAGCATTTTCCCCCATCAGTTAGAAGGGGAAACGTCTTGCTGGGGAAATGCAATTTTCTTCCCAACCAGCCCTGTTGTGCTTGATGGACTGTTGCGTTCTGTTCTGTGAGGGCACATACTGAGCACATACCGGCATTCTGAGTGTTCTTGGTAATCAGAGACACTTAAAGAGGAAATAACTATTGTTTTAAGTGATGAATTGTCAAGGGATGTACATGGACAAGTGAGTCAGCCCTGAGTGGCCAATAGTTACATCACAACACAGTCCGCAGATTGGCTGAAAACTCCTTTCTACAGAGCCCAGCTATAGTGCTTCCCACTCCCCTTGGCTGATGTTGGATTCCAGCTCCTTTCAGTCACAGTCCACATGGTCAACGTTCAGGGATTATGACAGTTGTAGCCTCAAAACATTCAGAGGATCACAGGTTTTCTACTTCTGTTATAGCATATTTAAACTGATATGTAGCTAACCAAGGCAGAATTGGCTATGAAACTAACAGAGCACTGAAACTAAGAGAGTAGTGTAAGAGCTTGAAATAATCCCTTACAGGTCTCCTTCACCTGCATTGAATCTTTCATTGCCATTTGTTCACGTATCCCTCGGCATGGCTGGGAGCAGCCTGGTTCATCAGCCATAAACTACAGAAAAGCTGCATTAAAAATCCCAAATCCATGGCCACTGCTATTGTGAGATGCTCACAGTCAATTATATTGACAGGATGTGTGCGGACAGCTCAATCAGATATTGAATTATGATACAAATATTGCCTTTTCAGTTGGCCATTTCAGGGGGTGGAGGAGAGAAGGCCTGTATTTCTATGGTGTCAATGGCAGACATCAAATAATGGACCCAATGAGAACACTTTCACTTGCAGTGGTTCATTCATTTCATCAAAAAGGAACAGGCGGTGTTGGAGGGACCACACCGTCCCTAGCTAGACACACACGGGCTGGTGCTGGTTCTGAATTCTAGACTTAATAGCACCAACACAGCAATTCTACTGCAACTGGCAGGACAGGAAAGAGGAAGGAGCATGAAGTTGGTTGCGTTAATGTCCTTTTTGGTTTCCTTCTTAACTTTTTCTTCTCCACGGACATCAATGGGAAAGAAATTAACTACACCAGCTCCAGGGCTGGCACAGTTCATTCCATTCTTCATTCTGAAGTCATGCCAGAGCCACAGAGTTTCTTGTCATACCAGGGGGAAGAGGGCCTTCCATTCACCCCTTTTGCTTCTTCAATTGTCAGGACTCTGATATTGGGAGATGAGGGCTCTGAAGGTTTCCATGGGTGATTGTAGGCTATATCCAAGGTCAGATCTCCACATTCTTGTAAAAAACCCTGTGGACCCTGTATTCTTCCCCACTCTAGGAAACACAGAACTGCATTCCTTTAAAATATAATAGAGAATGCAGCCCTTCCTTTCTGGGGTGAATGCATTTCATCCTTTTCCTAAAGGTTTTTTTTGACAGGCAAATACATTTTCTGCTCAAGCAGGCCTTTGGTATAAAGTCTTCTAGGTTGGGTGTTGTTTTCATTCTGTAGTTTTTGGTATAATTTTACACATGCTTTAAATATATTTGTTTCATTATTATTTTTCACTACTTGTCATGAACTTCTATTTCTTGGTGGAAAGATGGGCATAAATCAAATGAACAAGAGTAGGAAAAGGGAATGAAAAATATGGAATAGACTTGCTTCCAGTCCTTTAAGATTCATGACAATGGCCAAGACTAATGTGGACACAGTGTTATTGAACAGTACTGAATGACATGGAAATCAAAGTTGCCGCCAGTTATGGATGGGTTCTCATTTCAGTGACCTAGCACTTCAGCTCATGAAATAGCATTATTAAGCTGTACTGTAATATCATTACAAAGGATTTTTTGGAAAAGATTTTTTTTCTCCATACTGGCTAAAATGAAAGGTACAGAGAGAAAGAAAAGTTGATCTAGTTTCAGCCTCTCATATTACATCGATTGCCTGTAAATCTTACTGGTGACTTAACATTTTATAAATGGCAAGATATTTTATCATCCAAAGTAACAGTAGACTGAAACTACCTTTCTACAGAAGGTCTTGTGTTCTCCAATTCCTCCCTCATGATAAAACGCATGACACCATCACCCTCCAAGGCCCTTTTTATGTTAGAAAGGTATTCTAATGTTCTTTACTCCAACATGTGATCTCTAAAGGGGAGCATGAAACTCTGCTGGATTTGTCCAATTCCTCTATACCACAGCACCACCTAGTGGTTGTGTAATGGAGCAGGAAAAAAAGCAGAGAAACTTCCTGGAAAAAAATGCATGTAAAGGAATTGTTTTTAATTACACAAAGAATCCAGTAGCAGAAACCTGGTTAGTTAAAAGTCTCAGGAAAAGCCCTATGAAATTTTCTGCATGATGCTGTTAGTCATTTTATCTTTTTCCAGGTTTGTCAAACACAAAGGGTTTGTCAAACCCCCTGCTTTTTGCTATAAAACCTCAAGCTGCATGGTATAGCTCAAATATACAAGGAGACAGGTTTTCCCTGTTTTAATGTAATACCACATTTTCCCTGTGCATGTCTGTGTGCGTTGTTTGTTTCTTTTCACCAAGGGAAAATGCTCTGCAAAACAAGAAGTGAAGGAACATAGTGTTAACTGAG